TCAGTGATGTCGAGTCAAGGCTTTTAAGTAGCCATTCATATACCTCTTAAAGGCCTCAATTGCTAGTAAGTCAAGAAAAGAGCTTGATGGACATTCTTGCTCAATACTTTATTGCTGAAGTGGCAAGAAAGGTGTGTGTTTCTCTCCCAGGCCAACTCACCCCATTGTTTAACCCTCACAGCCTCTCTTGCCATCTCCAGGTAGGAGAAAATCACAGTCAATGCATTTCTCGTCTCACAATGCAAGAATCATAGAATCATAAAATAAAGAAGAGATCCTTCGGCCCATTGAGACTATATTGCCAAAGATATACCACTACCTACACCAGTCCACTTTCCAATAATAAGCCCATAGCCTTGAATGTTATGACACTTCAAGTATTCATCCAAGTACTTTTTAAAGGTTGTGAGGTTACCTTCTTCAACTACCTTCCCTGACAGTACACTCCGGACACATACCCCATCCTCTGGAGCAAATGAAATTCTTCAAATCCCCTCCAAACCATTTGTCTTTCACTTTTACAGTGTAACCCATTGTTCTCAATCCTACAATTAAGAGGGACAGCTGCTTTCTATCCATCCTGTCCATGCCACTCATAATATTATACTCCTCAATAAGGTCCTCCCTCAACCTTCTCTGTTCCAAAGAAAACAACCCAAGCTTGCCATCTGAAATGATTTGTCCCAGACAACATTCTGGTGAATCTCTGCTACCTCCCCGCCAGTGTAATCACTTCTTCCTTAATGTGGCGACCAGAACTGCACACAGTATTTCAGCAGTGGCCAAACCAAAGTACAGCTTCAACATAACCTCCCTACTCTTATAATCTATGTCTTGACTGATAGAGGCAAGTGTCCCGTATGCCGTCTTCCCTACTCTATTAAATTGTCTGGGCACCTTTAGGGATCTGCGGACAAATTCCCCGAGATCCCTCTGCTACTCTGCACTTCCTGGTGTCCTACCATTAATTTAGTACTGTCTTGTGTTCTTGTTTCTACAAAAGTGCATCACCTCACATTTATCAGGGTTAAATTCCACATGCCACTGATCTGCCCATCTGGCCAATCTGTTTAGATCTTTCTGTGACCTAAGAACTTCCTCCTCATTGTCAACCACCTAGTCAATCTTTGTGTCATCCACAAACTTGCTGTCGTCCCTTCCACATTTTCATCCACATCATTTATGAATAACACAAACATTCCAGGTCATGAGAATATGTAAAGTTTTGAGCCTTGAAATGAGGTGACTAAGAGGGAACACCTCAAATATACAGAAAACCTTGGAGACGGAAATATAAATGTTAGAGGTGAAAATTCTTCTTGGACACTGTGCAATAGGAGCAATATCAGGTCGACCCTCCAACGCATATAGTGACTGGTATTCGGTTCCATTGCCTGACACATACATCTGTGTCTTAGGAGCATTTAAGAAGCAGGTGGATACAGAAGGGGGTTAGCAATCATCAGGAAAGTGAAGAAGATTTTCATCATATTGTAGATGCTCGACAGTTTTTGAGAAGTCAGGAGCTGAGGTAATCATTGCAGATTGTTTGAAGTGACAGTGGTATTTTCTTCCCAAGGAAACAATGGAAGTGGATCATTGAATTTTCTCAATGCCGAGTTGGATTTTTGTTATGCAAAATAATCAAGTGCTATGGAAAAGTTGAGTTGAAAGGCCAGGAACATTGGGTTGTAATCACAACCAGATTATTGAACGGGGAGAGCAGACATGAAGGGCTGAGTGGCCTATCCCAGTTCCTAAATTCTATGTTCCTTTGAGTACAAGAAATAGATGGAAGAGATGGTCAAAAAGGAAAGAATGCCCTTCCTCAATGTAGTTATCTTCATCATTGGTTCTGATGAAGAGTCACTGGACCCGAAATGTTAACTCTGGCTTTCTTCTTACAGATACTGTCAGACCTGCTGAGTTTCACCAGCAATTTCTGTTTTTGTTCCTACCATGTTGCCTTGGTGAAATAGTGCCAGTGGTGTTCTTCCTGCTGGATACCCAATCCAGACATGTTCTTGCTAATAATGTTTCCAACAGAAAACAAAGTTAACTGGTAGCAATGTCTTATTTTGGATGGGAAGCTTCTTGTTCTGAAGTCACACATTATCGGATCTCAAGGAACAGAGGATTATTACAGCACCAGCAAGTATGGAACAAAAAACATCATTTACTTATCCTTCTTCACTAATTAATTGCTGAGAAGACATTGCTGAGAATGTTGGTCTTTATTGCAAGAGGATTTGTGCACAGCAGTAGTGAAACCAATTGTGTATCTCTTTTTGGTTTCCTTACCTCAGGAAGGATATTATTGTCATAGAGGAAGTGCAGTAAAGATTCACCAGACTTGTTACAGAGATGGCAGGACTATCCTATGGAAAAAGATTGGGCAAACTGGGCCTGTATCCTCTGAAGTTTTGTAGAATGAGAGGTTGGTCTCATCGGAGCTTACAAAATATTTAAAGAGATAGACAGAGTAGATGCTGGGTAAGATATTTTCCTGTTTAAAGAGTTTTTAACCAGGGTGCTCATGTAAAAATAAGGGGGATGCCATTTAGGACCATGATGGAAAGAATTTATAATTACAGGGTCTGAATCTTTGAAATTGTTTATCCCAGAGTAGTATGGAAGTTTAATCTTTGAGTAGGATTAAAGAAGAGATTGGTAGATTTCTGATCACCAATGGTGTGCAGGGTTATGGGAAGAGAGTGAGTAAATGAAACTGATGTGCTGAATTAGCTTGATCTTATTAAATGGCAGAGCAGATTCAACAGGCTGAATAGCCTACTCCTGTTACAATGTTCCAATTTTCTAAAGGTTTCTCTGTCTGCAAAAGATAACTAAGAACAAGTCCAGGATGTCTGCCCAGTTTTACGAGCAAAACCTTTTGCCCTTCTTCAGTGCTTTCTGTAGATAATTATTCATGGCATCAGAAACTAAAGAAATACCGGAAAAAAAATACAGAACATTCTGCCAATCATAGAAATATTCAGAACACTACATTTTTGCAAATCTGTGAAGTTTTACATGAAGAAACTAAACTGTTAGATACTCATATTTTAACTATCCTCTGAAGTTAGACCTGAACAAATGGCTTTCCATGAGAAACAAATTCAGTGTATTGCCATACTGCCGCAGTACACTTCTAACATGTGAATTACATGGTTTATATGGCTAAAAGAGGCTGAAACACAATCTTTTGGGAAGACACTTATCTTCAAGTTAACAACTGAAAATACTGCTCATGTCATCTCTTTGTCACATTATTTCCCACAGCACCTGGAGACAGTTTCATTAGTTCATAAATGTAATTTTCAATCCTTGCAAGAAAACATTTAGCTATTTTACTTGAATGGGGTACTACAAACACAACTTAGCTTTCTGACTAATTAAAATAGACCGCTTGAAGCTACTAAATTACTAGACGTTTTTCATGATGTGGAACTATCTGAAGTTAACTGTACATTCTGGGAATAGGACAAAGACGTGGTCTGAAAATCACTCCATGGGACAGCATTAAACTGTAGAACTGTCATTGTATGGCAAATTTCTTCCTTTATTTGTCCATCATCTGACAATCTAAAAAAAATGCATTGCTTCCATTTTTAATCATCACATTATTACTCAGCTCTTTGTAGGATCCCAACTCACATCACGGAGCCAATTAAAACAATCAAATGTTAATGGGTTTCTGTCTGCTTCTGTGGTGCTTTAGTAGATATCCAGGCGGATATTGGGAAAGCATGACACAAGCAGGATGGTGTTTTTATGCTTTTAATGAATAAAATATGGGGAAGTATTCCTTTTAAACAAAATTAAATATTTATTAATGATACCTGCACATTGGAATGAACATTACATGAACAGTTTTAACCTTAAAAACCCTGCAAATACTAGGACTTTGACTGACTCAGTCTCCACTACTTGCTTTCTATTAGGCCACAATATAGACACATCTCTGCCTAATTCTAGGGGAGAAAATAAAAGGAAAAATAACACAATAAAATGACTGTATATATTACAAATGTAAGGCAAACCAATCCTGATACCCATAAGAAAAGAACTGATTGCAAATACAAATTGTTATATAAGTCACTGTGCTGTATGAGCTACTGCTTACATGCTAAAGGTTGTTACCACCATTCACTAAGTGAAACACTTCAGGTCCTAGTTGGCCTAATGTGGCAGAGGAAAGCCACTTTCTGGATAACTGATGGAGTCTCTTGTAGTTAACAAGTCAAAAGGCTTAATTTTCACAAAATTTGGCTTAGCATCAATTTTAGGAACTTCATTGGAGGGTTTCACTCTATGAGCTTTAGCAACTTTTCTCATGTAATTTTAAGTTGCTTATCTCGTTAAAATGCACTCTGCCTCCAATGTCCCACTCTTGCACAATCTTGTGTTCACTGCTGCTCACACCATGGGCACCATATTTAAACCCCAGCTACACACCATTTTAAATGCTGCCAGCCTGGTCTGATGTAGCACCCAGGTCAGTGTGGTGTCCACACACTGAACCAATGCAATCTGCAAAGATAAGTGTCACTATCTTTTCTCTGCTACATTACACTCTAACTCTGACATTACCTCCACTTGTCCCAAGCCTCGTGGTTTATCACTCTCAATATTGCATGCAGCATCTTTCTCCAATGGCTCTTACCCATACCATCCGCCCAAACTGCAAACCTTTTCTGCTGTCTGTGCTTTCTACTCACTCACTTAGGACACCTCACTATCTTTCCAGACTGAACATAGTCCCCCTTGACCAGATGAAGAATTGCTTCCCTTAGACTTTTAGACACAACCAAGAGCATGCAGTGTATTTGCCATGTAAGATGCTGTTACATGCTGTCGGTGACATAGCACAGTGCCATACACCGACATATCCACTCTCTTGACAGTTAATTGTTTGTGGACATGATAAGCTTCCTGGCTTTCTATCTGTGCTAAAAGACAAAGCAAGGCAAAGATTCTGTGAATATTCTAGTCATCACAAGGGGAGTAATGGCTAAGAAAGCAAGCTCAGAACCCAATGAGGCACCATGCTGTCATGCATGAGATGGGTGTCGGTCCTGTGTGCAAAGTGGCCTGGCAGCAACATTGCAATGTAAGATGTTGCCGATGTTGCAGTATTGAAGGACAGACTGAATTTCGTTATAAGATGAAAAAGGGCTGGATTTTGTTGTAAGTTAGTCAAAAATGTGCCATGCTAATATGGTGAGGCAAGCACCTTGATGATGTCAACTTTTGTGGACAGAGGGTGCTATAAGTCACCGCCTGTGTGGAATGTTGGCCAAGTGGATGCACAGAGAAGACACTGACAAGCTGCAGTCAATAGGTAACTACTTTTACTTTCAACTCAACAATAGGTGCCATCTAGTTTCACTTTGGTATCTGGGAAAATAACAACCTGCATCTAAATAAGGTGGGATTAGGTAATAATGAGATATCAAGGAATGCAAATAGGTCCCCATGCTGCTCACTAGGCAGATTCCCATGTTACCATTAAAGCCTTAAGCAGGAAATCAGACTTTCTTCCCTCAACTTTGCGAAGCTCATTTTTCACTCTCATTCAATTTTCCCAACTGTCTCACCATTGCCCTTGTCATGAAAAGACTGGGAAAATTCAGTCCATAGCTTATTGGATGTTAGGAACGAGTTACAGGTTACAATGATATGATATACATTGTTACAGACAGTTTCTCCTTCGGGTTCCTAAACTATTCTGCCCACAAATACACACAATGACGTCATAGTGCGTGGTGCATTTGGCATGCCTCAATATTAATCCTTTCAGACTTATGAACAACACAAACCAAGTAGCATGATCCTTTTAAATCCAGATTGCCAAATCATTTCAATTTAAAGGCAAAAGACGTAGAACTGAAGTATCAGTTTGTTTCTACTGTTTTAGTAGCACAATCTGTGAAAATCAGCCAAACAAGCACAGATGAACCAGATACAAACTAAAATTACATCCAGTGCAAATCAGGCTTCAGTGATTTCTTTTGTGTTTAACAAACATTGTGTGAAAAGCTGGTCCAACTCACAACCAGCATGAGTTTTTTGATTTGGATAAAATTCCCTATTTCTGACCAAGGTCAGCTAATTAATTACAGACTCACCTACCTCTGATTTTTTGGACCTGGATTCCAAAGGAGGATTCCACTGAACTCATCAAGGTCAGAGGAGTAGCACATAGAATCCTTTTAGAAGTCATGTTCCTTTATTATGGCTGCTGTATTCATATAAGCAAAGAGTTTAAATGCCTGCAATCTCTTTGAGAAGGTAAGAGGATAAGAGTATGGTCTGGCAGATAGGTGACGTGGCAGCATGGCTGGTGGTTAAGTGGGCAGGTTGACAAGGTCATAGGGTGTGAGGGGAGTGGCTGGGATTGTATACTGGGTCAGTATTGGTATAGTTCAAAGGAGATTTACTAGGCTGGTACAGGTAGAACATTCCAAATTCTAACAATTCTCTCAGAAAAGAAGTCCTTCCCTCATCTCACTCCTAGCACTCTTGCTGACAACCTTGAAGTTATGACCCCTGATGTAAAACTAGGAGAAACAGAATATTCTTCTTTATCCTATCAAAATTGTTCATAATTTTGAATACCTCAATAAGTCACCTCTTAATCTTTTCTGTTCCAAGATGAATAAGCCCAATTCTTCTCATCCTACTTTTTATCCAAGATCCCATATTCCTGGTATCATAAGGTTGACTTTTAACTGCCCTCAGGCCAATCAGAGATGGGCGATACATACTGGAGGGAGTCGGAGGATGTTTGAATTGGGGTGTCATGGTGATGGCAGTCACAGGGTCCAATGGGGAGAGGTCTATCTCAGTTGTACAGTTACCAAGGAGTTTTTTTTCGTTCACAGGACGAGGGGATAACTGGCAAGACCAGCATATATTGCCCTGCCCTGACCAGAGGGCACTTAAAAGTCAATCATATGATACCAGAAATGAGGGATTTTAGATACAAGGTAAGATCAGAGATCGGCTTATTCTTCTTCAGGAGATTAAGAGGTGACTTATCAAGTTATTCAAAATGATGAACAATTTGATAGGGTAAAGAAGAATATTCTGTCTCTGTATGTCAGGAGTCACAATTTCAAGATTGTCAGCAAAAGAGATAGGCGTGAGATGAAGGAGAAACTTCTTTATGAAGGGAATTGTTAGGATTTGGAATGCATTACCTGGTATCAGTCTAGTAAATCTCCTTTGAACTCTCTCCAGGAATTGAAACAAGGAGCCCAGAACTGAACACAATACTCCAATGTAGTGTGACCAATGATTTGCTGAGGTGTAGCATCACTCAGAATCACAGAATCCCTACAGTGCAAATAGAGGCCATTCAATCCATCGAGTCTGCACCAACACTCTGAAGAACAGAGTTAAATGAAGCTGAATAGCGGAACAAAAGAAAACATAAGTTTCGAGGTGCAAAATATTATAACTTAGCCTCACTCTCAAAAGATCTTTTTAAATTCACAGTTTTTCTGTGAGCTGGAATTGACAGAACATGGACTGATTACACACACAAGTCACAGCTTCTATAGGTTTCTAGCTCTCACTGTGATAGACAATCTATTTCAGGTTATCTGGGATCATAAATCACCACAACATTCTTGGATGCATCAGTTTGTGATGTCTGCACAAATATACAATGTGCTAAGTTAGAGTTATTGAGTCATACAGCACGGAAACAGACACTTCGGTCCAACTCATCCGCACTGACGAGATATCCTGAGCTGACCTAGTCCCATTAGCCAGCATTTGGCCTATATCCCTATAAACCCTGTCTATTCATACACTCATCTGGATGCCTTTTAAATGATGTAATTGTACCTGCCTCCACCACTTTCTCAGGCAGCTCGACCATACACGCATTGTCCTCTGTGTGAAAAAGTTGCCCCTCAGGATCCTTTTAAATCTTTCCCCACTTGCCTTAAATCTATGCAGTCTAGTCTTGGGTGCCCCTACCCTTGGAAAAAAGACCTTGGCTATTCACCCTATCAATGCCCCGCATGATTTTATAAACCTCTACAAGGTCACCCTTCAGCCTCGAATGCTCCAGGAGAAAAGCCCCAGATTATTCAGCCTCTGCCTATAACTCAAACCCTCCAGTCCTGACAACATTCTTGTAAATCTTTTCTGAACTCTTTCAAGTTTAACATCATCTTTTCTACAGCAGGGAAACTAGAATTATATGCAGTATTCTAAAAGTGGCCTCTCAAACGTCCTGTACAGCTGCAACATGACCTCCCAACTCCTATACTCAATGCACTGACCAATGAGAGCAAGTGTACCAAATGCCTTCTTCACCACCCTGTCTACTTGCGATTCCACTTTCAAGGAACTAGGTCTCTTTGTTCAGCAACACTTCCCAGGGCTCTACCATTAACTGTATAAGTCCTGCCCTGGTTTGCCTTACCAAAATGCAACACCTCACATTTATCACAATAAAACTCCATCTACCACTCCTCGGCCCATTGGCCCATCTGATCAAGGTCCCGTTGTACTCTGAAATAATCTTCTTCACTGTCCACTACACTATCTATTTTGGTGTCATCTGCAAACTTACTACCAATACCTCCTTTATTTACATCCAAGCCATTTATACAAAATGAAGAAAAGTAGTGGACACAGCACTGATCTTGGTAGCATACCGCCGGTCATGGGCCTCCAATCCAAAAAACAACCCTTTACCGCCACATTCTGTTTCCTACCTTCAAGTCAATTTTGCATCCAATTGACTAGCTTCCCCTGGATTACATGTGATCAGTCTACCATGCAGAACCTTGTCGAACATCTTGCTAAAGTCCATATCGACATCTACAGGTCTGCCTTCATCAATTCTCTTTGTCACCTCTTCAAAAAACTCAATCAAGTTAATGAGACACAATTTCCCATGCACAAAACCATGTTAACTATCCATAATCAGTCCTTGTTTTTCCAAATGCATATATATTCTGTCCGTCAGAATCCCCTCCAGGAACTTACCCACTATTGATGTCAGGCTCACTGGTCTATAGTTTTGGATGAAGTGGAGAGCACAAAAGTAAGAAGATGGGGATTGGGGAAAAGAAAAAGAGGAATGTTTGAATATTGATGATGAACAAAGAAATAGTTGCCTTCAAATGGACAAGAAAGTGATAAGGGCAGTCCTATCAAGTAGGGAGCTGTGCTGGATCTGGTCCTAGGAAATGAGGCAGACCAAGTGGCGAACATTAGAGTCGGGAAGCATTTGGGAAATAGCGATCAATAAATATTAAGTTGCAAAAGGCTAAAAGTCAGTCAAGGATTAAGATCCCAGGTTGGAAAAGGCCAGACTTTAGAGGCTTAAAAGTGAACTGGAGCAAAATGATTGGAAACGCAGTTGGTGGATAAAACAATGGATAAAGGTGAGAGATTTTCAAAAGAAGGATGAGAAATGAAATGGAGTACCCAAAGCTAGAGACTCTTGGATAACTAAGGATATTTATGAGATAATAAAGAAGAAAAAGGAGGTACATGAGATATACCAGAATAATAACAGCAAAAGAATTGAGGAAGAGTATTTCAAATGCAGGAAAGAGGCTAGGGCTGGAAAAATAAAGGTTCAGAGAAAGCATGAGGACAAAATGGTGGGCTGTGCTAAAACAAATAGTAAAATGTTCTTCAAACATATTAGTGGAAAAGATTAGTGAAGGATAGAATAGCCCAAAAGGAACAAGCAGGGTAAGCTGCATATTGAAGCAAAGGGTAGGCAGAAATACGAAATGAATCCTTTACTTCTATGTTTCCCAAATTAGAAAATGGTGACAATAGCCCAGTTGAAAATGTGAGTACTGAGCAACTGAGCAGTTGAGTGATGGATAAAGAAGAGATAAAAAGGCTGACAGCACTCCAGGTAGAGAAATCATTAGACCCAGATGGGATACATCCTAGATTGCAGAGAGAGCTAAAGAAGAAAATTGTGGAGCCATTCACAGAAATTTTCCAGGTCTCTCTGGCAACAGAATGAGTCCTGGGGAAC